TCATATCCCATTAAATTGAAATGTGTTTAGTTTATATTAGGAAAAATCAATAATTACCAAACACTGCCAAACTGAAAACATTATGAATGAAGTATTTGTTTTGAAATACCTTTAGTGAAATCATTTTACTAATTATTTCTATTAAATTGATATTGCTCCAGATGAGTGTGTAATCTAAATACTCCAAAAGTTTGTTTTTTTTGATAATGAGCTTTTGATCAACATTTTTTACTGTCCAAGAGATACTTTTGATGTAAGGGGTGTATTTGACATTATTAAAAAAAAAATGAAGCATTATCTTTTTTTGTAGAACTTGAAAGACTGGGCCCAGGGTCGTCGCGAAGTGGAAATAATAGATATGGTTTTGACAATCAAGAATAAAATAAGCAAGTGTAATGAACACGATATCCCTGTAAGCCAACCGACGAAGGATCAACTCAATCAACGTTTGACCGATATTGTTACTTCCTTACCCGATGATCTAAAAAATATCCTACATGTTTCATGATACTTACTGATAGTATGTAAAAAATTGTATATAAGTGACTCCCACTCAGACAACCTTGTGTTTGACAATCTCTCTTTCAAAAATATGTCAAATTATTTCCAAGAACACTAAAATTTTCAAATTAGGCTGCTACTTTTGGTGCCTTCAATTCATACTCACATTGTATAGACTCACAACTTTTCTTTTTCACTTAAAATTTTTAGTGAATTTTAGGAATGTTCAACTTACAGAAATTCATTGTAGATATACCCTGTTGTAATCTTTTTAATGTCTGTTTTTTTTTTGCAAAAGCTGAAAGCCAAATTTGAAAAACTTTTTGGAGCTGAGAATGAACGTATTTGAATAAAAATTTTGTTTTTGTTGTAAATGTTAAAATGAGAATATCAGATTTATGAAACTTTATCAAGTGTAAAATTGTTAATTGCAATCTTGTTTACTTACATGCAGAATGAAAGGCATTAATTTATGAAGATAATTTTCGAACAAGGTAAAATAAGTCTTGTTAGGAAACTAATAGTATTCAGGTTTTTTCCTCAATGCAAACGGTTGTTTATTCAACATGAAATGCTCAGTTGCAGTCAATAATACAAACAAGTGTTGTAGTCTTGCCTTTAATACCTCACAAACTCAAATTTGAAGGAGAGAAATATGTTGTATATTTAAATATTTGTATCATTTGGTTTATTTATTGAAAAATTTCAGTACCCACTGATGTTAGGTGAAGTTTTGCTCATTATCAGGATTTGAAAATCTAAATTCATCAAATCCTTAGTACCATTTGCTAGTACCAATATTTTATACTTGTTGATTTGAGTGTTTTTTAAAGTTTACATAAAATATACCAGTGTAGAAATCAAGAGATATTTCCAATTTGTTATATTGTAGCAAGATATTGAAAAGTACAAAATTGTCCTGCAAATGAATGCATGTCCCAGTGGAACAAATATCTTGCTCAATACAATAGTCTATAATACTCACATAAACCTTATCTGAACATTGTATCTGAACATGGGTATATAGGGGAGATATTTTCATTTGTCTTCAGAATTTCAAAATATTTTCAGTACAGAGATCAAATTTTCAGATAATTCAATAGATTTTGAGANCAATATTACAAAAAAATTCATATGAATATAAAAAAAATTAACAATTTCATTGATAAAGCTGCGTTAGGTTTTCTAACAGTTTTCCATTGGGTGTCGATGTCATACTCCTGCATAAGGGTCACAGCATAATTTCTTAATTACTACATTGTCGTCTCTTCCAGCAAACTTCTGAGTAAGTAGCGGTAGTCTTTCCTCAATAGGGATAATGCCAGTGACTGGTACAGCAGAGGGTTTGGAGGGTTGCATGTGGGGTTATTGGGATGCCTTATTCTTGTTATTTTCCCGATAGCCGTTGTTTCAGATACTTTAATTATTTTTAAGGCCATTTGTTTAACATCGAGAAACAGTGGGTGATAGTATTCAATTAGTGAGCGACAAATTAGTTTGTATATACGGCTTGCTGTTGATATGCCTGCACCTGCTCCCGGGTTTGTCAAACTTGTGAAATGTACGGCTCCTGCCGCACAAAACACAACAAGACCTAACATTCCATATTACACAGAACAATACCCACTCCTAGAAACAGTAAATCTAGAGAAGATCCAACACAAAGAATATTACCAGGTGTAACCCAAATACAGGCAAATTTACCTAAAGTACCTGCACTGAGGCGTTCGGACCGCATAAAAGGACAAACAACAGATTGGCACGTTCAGTTTGAGTAGAGCCTTGATGATGACAGCACGACCAGCTGTCGAAAGCGCTCGCATATAATTAAATAGGAGTTATAAAGCTTCAATAAATAATGGGTTTATTGAATAAAACTTTAAACTAATTGAAAAATGATGAATGTTTCTATACTATAAATTAAATTGTCCAATTCATGTTGAAATTTTTTGAAAATGTTTAAAATCAACTCGACCTTTACATTAAACATTTCATAACAAATTCAATACTATGTTCAAATGAATCAATTTGTCATCACATTCAATTCAATATTCAAATTATTCAATGCAAAATATTCAAATTCAATGCAAAATATTCAAATTCAATTAAATGTTCAACTTATTCAATTCATAAAATTCAACCTTACCAATGTTTAAGTAAATTAATTTATAATCTTCAAATTCAATTCAAAATGCTCAACACAGATCCATCAGAAGACAATCAGTATGTGAACTGGACGAATCTTTCTGAACAGATTCAAAAATGGGTGCTAAATCTGCAGAATTTTTAATCTGATTAACGAACTCGTTGAGGTGAGGATTCTTATCTGGAAAGTAAAGCAGTATAAGTAACTAATTAATGATGTAGATGAATGACTATTTATAAATAGTAAACTGTTTCCTGGAATTATATCGTACCTGCATCGGGTATACCCAAGAGAGCCACAACTGCTCTCATGGCAGATCTCTTAAGCTCATCTTGTTTCTCATATTCTTGTTTAACAGAGTTCGCTTTCACTTTCATAGTTAAAGTTGCTCTTAAAGGTTCGACCAGTTTATCCAACACTAGAAGAAAAAACATTGAAGATAATAGGATACTTTCCCATCACAGAGTTCATATTATAAGATTCCATAGTAGAATGAATTATCTTAACTGTACCATAAGTATTCTGTCTTCACTTTCTAATTTTTCATCACTCTAGACTCAGAATAAAGAAAAAATATTATTATTAGTTTTAGGCATTAGTTTGATTGAGTTTTAAGTAGGGAAGTCATCTTATTATGATATCTTTATCCTGTGTGTACGAGGTATGTTCAAAAAATAAGGTGAATGTTCAAGGCACGTACATTTGATTAGCGATTTATAAACATTTTGATTATTCAGCGATTTTCTGCTATCAAAAAAATGGATCACAGAATTTGCATCAAATTTTGTGTGAAAATTGAATTAAGTGCTCCAAAACACTTGAAATGTTGACAGTTGCAGACGGTGATTGTACTCCGAGTCTGAGCTGAATTTTGACTAAAAAAAAACCGTTGCATGAGCCTCGCTCAGGAATTATTGAATAACATCAACGGCGATCTTGATTTGCTTTAAAGAGCCATGACTGGTGACGAATCATGGGTATATGGTTATGACATCAAAACCAAAGTCCAATCGTCTCGATGGAAGAGCACGCCAAGTTCAATCACATGTCGAGGTTTTGCTCACTGGTTTCTTTGATTACTGTGGCGTAGCGCATCAGGAATTCTTGCCATATGCTTGTACAGTCAATAAGGAGTATTATCTTGAAATTAGGCGCCGCTTCCGAGAAGCAATACGAAAAAAACGTCCAGCATTGTGGAGAAAAAGTCATAGCTTTTGCATCACGATAATGCACTTGCCAGTCGTCATTACTTGTTCGTATTTTTTTGCCCGAAAACAACATCGTAATCATGCCTCAGCCACCGTATTCACCAGATTTAGCCCCCTGCGAATTTTTCCTGTTCCCAAGATTGAAGAGATCCATGAAAAAATGGCTTTTTGCAACAACTGAGGAGATGAAACCCAATCGCCGAGAGATCTCAAGGACATACCAAAAAGTGCATATCAAAACTGCTTCAAGGATATTATAACTGAGGGGGAATACTTTGAAGGACACACAAAAGAAATTGATGAATAAATGAATATTTTTTGAGAAAATTAAAATTCACCTCATTTTTTGAACAGATCTCTCAATTCCTCAATAAGTAGATATACAGACTTAAACTTTTTTTTACTTGGATCATTCCTATACATGTAAAAATATGGAATAATAAATGGAGTACTGAATATAGAATAAAAAAAAATATATTTGTCTGATTTCTACTAAGTTTTTCATTTGTTATGACAGGTCTCGGTTTGTTAAACCATTTTCATGTAAATTTTCAAGTAAAACTCTGTTTACTTGAAAATCGTAACAAATAAAAAACTTATTAGAAATCAGACAAAAGTTATTTTCTATTCAATATTAATGTCTACAAAATAAGTAGGTCATCAATCGAACAAAAAAAATGGAGTATTATTATTACTTACTTTGAAACACTGCTCCAGGACAAATCTGTGACAGTCTGGCCACCATAAGGTAGGTAAGCATTTTGATATCATAATGATCCTTCAAGCCAGTCTCTACATGGTTGATGAATTCAAATATATCGACTTTGTCCAAACAGGAATCCAATAAAGTATACATGCATTCGTATGCTGCCTTTCTGATATCCAAACCATCATCCACCGTGTGTTTGAAAGGTCCCATCTCAACTTCTCTAATCAAATCTCTCTGCAATAAATATCAATGAACAGACAATTAAATGGGTGTCCATTTTGGATCTGTATAATTGTTTTCATGCATAATTATTATCTAGTCGCTTTCACTCAGAAAGGATCAGCTTACCTTTACTATTGTTTCCCCATAAAGTTGTGGTAGGGTAGTTCCCAATAAGTCCCTAATTAAAGATGGTTTATTATGAGCTGCAGAATTAAATGCTACTAATGCCACCCTTCTCACATTCAAATCAGGATCTTGCAGAGTATTCAAGAATTCCCCAATGCATTGCCTTAATAGTAGATCGATTGCAGCAGGCTGAAAATATTTTTTTATTCATAATCAGATATATTGAGGATGTTTATCTCATGACTCACTTGATCTGATATAGTGAATTTGACAGCAGTCACAACCGTAGTTCTCATAAGAGGAGAAGGTGAATTTAAAGATCTCTTCAGTTTGGGTAATAAATTACTTGGGTCTATTAGAGTGAGTTTACCCAAACATTCTGCCACTACATTTCTTGTACCTTCTTCGGTGCATTCACAATGTCGGTACAACTGCTGCCATATCTCTGGTACGAATGGAAGAAGTTGCTGAATACCTGCCGGGGTTTGTGATAAGCATGTTATAACCTGAAAAATGTCATCAACTGAATGATATATACATGGTTCTACAAAATACTTCCCACTAATGAATATTATAGGGAAATACTGCACAAATTTTGCACTACTTACTTCTTTCAAAGAATGTAAAAGAAGGTATTGCCGTTTAGGTTGATCCTGACTTTCTTTCAGGATGAAAGGTAAATATTGTTGAAGATTGCCAATACAAATACTACCTAGGGCATAACTTGCAGCAGATTTAACTTCTTCTGACACAGCCGAAAATGAATGCAGTATCACCTGCTTCAAATTTGATATTGTATTCAAATCTCTGAAATGAGAATTATTTTGTTTACTGTTCATTTATTACAATGAGCTTGAATTGTTTATTACAATGTTGAACTCACATTTCTCTTCCTATTTCTCCCACAACTAGAAGTGCGAACATCTGTTGGGAGTCATTCGATGCAGTCTCTATTTCGTTAATGAACTGTGGCACAACCGGCAAAGCATGAGAATGGCAAGTGACAGTTATTGCAGCCACACATTTTGCTAGAGAATAGAAGGCCTGCTTGTGCAACGTAGACGAATGTTTGGTGTTGAGTTGAGATATTGGTATAAGGAGCATTCGTAAGAGAGCATCATAATTCAGCCCTGGTAGATTGCATTTAACTAATGATTTGAAGAAATCCAACATTGACTGTAAAGCTGTGCCTGAAATCCAACGAAAATTCTTGTTGAGAAATTTGTATTGACATCGTTGCCATAAAATGATTCTAGGCAAAATATGGGTGTGATGCACTGTTTGGTGTAGTAATGAATAGTACTGAAGTTCAATCTTCCTCTTGAACATAATCACTTGGTGAACGAAACATGTGTCGAGGTTCTCCACTAGCAATATTTTTGAAGTTTCATTTCTAGCTGGTCAACGGAAAAACAGATTTCAACAGATTTTTTTTGTCAGTATCTCCTCATTTGGCAGATTGTTATATAATTGATCTCATCTGTCTAAAACTGTACTGGTTAGTGCATAACAATTTTTTTCCAAGTGGTCACTACTCTTTAAGCAAGCAACTATCTTATTGAATAATTTGGCTATCATATCCCATTACTATTTCAAGATCTCAATTCTTTATGCTTCACTCAAATGTGACATTGTCAGTTTGAAAAACCGATTTTCATGGCATGAATTATTAAGTATCTGACAAAATAATAATTGAAATCATTATGACACATCTGATTCTACAAAGTAACACGCCCGCCACTCCAATTGAAAATTTTGGGAAATAGTTGACACTTCGAGGGTGTTATAATGGGTGGATGACATTTTATATATTAACTGTGGCATTTTTCAGAAAAGCCTACCTTGTAACAGTGGAGATTTGACTAGTAGAAGAACATGCGGCATTATAAGGTTATTTATGTCCCGTAAAGCCACAGGATGATAGGTAGCAATAGATTTGAGAATAATAAGAGTCCACTGGGCAATGTGAAGATCCGATTCATCAAGTAGGGGTGGAATTTCTATTAAAATAGGAAAGATGAATGTTTCGTCCATATCTGAATGGTAGTTTTTGATTAAACAATCCAATAACTGCAGTGTGCTCAACTTGAGAGCTCGTTGGTTTTTCCTGAGAAATAATGCCAGAGTGGGTACTGCTTCAGGAAGAATCGGTAAGGCAATACCTGAAATATAATAGAACTGAAGCTCTGTGATTATCATTTCACACACTGAAACTTACCTAAGGGTGATCCAGCGATTTTTGTAAGAGCTTTGACAGTGGTAAGTCTCGTAATCTCATTCTTGAGTCTATCCAAAAATAGAGGTAAGCAAAAAGGTAGCTCACTTTTAAGATGATCGCCTAGGTTACAGATAACCTGCCCCATTGTAGAGATGGCCTTTTCTTTCACTTCCTGATCAATGTCAGCCGTTCTCAATCTCAAAAGAGTGCAAGTGTAGATTGATTTGATAAAAGGAGTGAATTCGAATCCGGAGTTCACGTTTAGAGGTCTGATTACTTTAACAAGCTCCTGAAGAACGTTCAATGCCTCAGCTGTGATTTTGTAAAAGTTATCCCCCACTGCGCTGATTACGGGGGGTAACAAAACGTTGATATGGGGATGGAAAACTTGTGGCTGATGGCTAGTCAACAAGCAATAAATGAAAGACAATGCATCGATCTTCATATTGCTACTGGCATTCTTCTCGCCCAATGAATACAGTATTCCTGGTATTAGGTCGCCGATGTGGGTCCCAAGAGCTCCTGGCAAGACCGAACATACTTCTTTTAGTAACTGGAAGCAGTCTTGTCTGGTTTTCATGCTTTTTTCTCGCATTTGACCTTGTACACCTTTGATCAGAAGATCGATTTGTTGCTGAAGCAGAGACATCGGGGTTTCTTCCTCATCATCCATTACCATGGCATTGGGATCCATGTTTACATTCACTGTAGCTCTAGTTTGCCTGAGTAAAGCGATATAAGCATGGAAAATGTCCGACTTGACATTTTCTTCTCGTTCTAGAATTTTAAATCAGTTAGCGATATATCAAACAACCTTTTAAACTTGTGTATTTGTAAGTTGTCGAAATGGTACAGTATGCATGGAAATGATGAAAATATGCTAGGAAAGTAGGAGGAATTATATTTGTGAAAGAGCCCATAAAGAAAAAACGAGAGAACAGGAAAAAAGCAAGTGTTGAAGTGTACAATTGAGTAGAAAAAAGCAAAATAAAAACAGTCTCATTGGCAATCGTTTAACTGAACAGAAATATATCAGGACGAAAAAAAAAGTTAAAATAGGGAATGTAGGAACAAAATGGATATTCATGCGGAAAGGCCAGAGGCCGAATTTTGGAGCCGTTACGTTTATACCAGTAAAGAAAGAGCGAGTATGATGACAGTCACAATACTCTCCTTCCTTATTATGTATTAACATAACAGGATCTCCATTTCACCAAACACATTCACCCTAACTCCTCCATGACTTACCACTGGTGAAAGTAGATTTTATAAAAGTTTTAGTATTTTTTCTTCAATTTTGTCTTGATGAGAAAAAAGTATGCGCAATTAATAACCATACTTCTCTTAGATGTATACCATACTTTCAAATAGTTATAGACATAGTATTACAAATTTTGATTTTTGAAATATTAGGAACCGTTATTAAAGGACTGTTTGGAATAACATACATGTTGGTATCCTCAGAATGATGATTTCACATAAAATGAGGAGGCAAAGTAACGTGTAGTATGTAAATTTTGGTTGAAAAAAAACGTATTAACTCAAGTTAACAAAAATAAATATAATATTTGATGCAAAATGTATGAAAATAAAAAATTGGACATTATTTTAGTGTCAAAGAAGCTGAAATTAGGAATATGTACTGCATTAGTTTGAAATACTAACATAATTTGAAATATTTAAAAAATTGGAAATTTTGAAACTGAAACAGTCTTCCTCATTATTTTTAATTTTCCTATTCTATCAGCCTAACATAATTATGATGATAGACACATTCGGAGAAAAATGTTCTTGAACACTCATTTCTTTTCTCAGGTTTCTCAGCAAAACAGAGCAAGCCTGAGACAAAATTTATAAATGAACAATGAGTAATGAAACTTTCTGTTTTTTACCACTTCTATTTGTAACTATCATTACTGCACATTTTCCAACTAATACAATAAAACTTGTATTAGTTTAACGAAACTGCAGTAACGATAGTTGCAAATAAAAGTGGTGAAAAAATAAAAAGTTTCATTTTTCATTATGATCTACCACGTAGTAACGGCTACACCAATCAAAATTTAAAATTTCTTCGACACCTCCATTACCTTGAGAATGAGAAAATGGGAGAAATTCTGAAAACCGAGTGATTATTCCAGTTTTAATCCACAATAGGAATTTACAGTGATGTCATTTTCAACTCCAAATCTCATGACTGGATTATCATCTGGACAGTTCGTTAGTTGTTTAGTTTTTTATCTTTTCCAAAGAGTTCACTGAAGATTTACAATTAATTTTCTGTTGAAACTCTTGATATTATACATAAATATATGCTACACCTTGAAAAAGATACTTTGAAAAAATTGCTCACCTTTGAATCTTGCGATCAGAGCAGGTGACAAAACTTTATGAAATTCTGGAAGTAATTCATGTCTTGTCGATATAATGGCTTCAAGACATTTGGCAGCAGATCTTCTTACTTTCCAACTCATATCATCATCATCACTATACTCATCATTCTCCTCATCATCTTCATCATCATCATATGGATCATTATGTCCCGTACCAGTCTCATCCTCATCATAGTTGTAGTTAGGATCATAAACCATGTATTTAAGGCATAAATCAGTGATCTTAAATAATATTTTCATTATTATTTGAAACGCAGGTACTAATTCAACTTACCGAAGGGATATTTTTAGTGATTTCCTTGGGACAACGATTGATAAAACTCTCAAAAGCTTGTAAACAAAATTCCCGTAGTTCATCATCATCAACCTCGCTACATTGTAATATTAATGGAACAAATTTTTCAATATGTTCTCCAAATTTGTGTCCCGATTGTCGACTGAAGAATAATAGAATTGGCATTACATTATACATTGAATTATTTACTTACCAAACTGCAGCCACACACTGTACGTAAGTCCTTATCTGAGAGTTATTTTTATCAGAACAAAGGCCATTATATAAGTGATCAATCAGTTTTGTATAGAGAGAGTTGTTACAGGACAGTACTAAATTACTGCAAGCACTTATAGTTCGCTTTCTTACAGCTTGCCGTTGTGAACATAACTGAGGCAGCAAAGCTGCTAATATTGAGACATGAAAAGCTTGTAGAACAGGTCCAAATCTTAGTAATAAATCTGTTATGATATCTAAAGCCTCTAGCTGCACGGACACATCTTCTTGCTGGAACATCCAATAGATATTTTGATTTCAGCTTAACGACTTTTTAATGGTGTTACAAAATCACTTGCATGTGTAGTAACAGCTTGACTCTAAACCAGAATACTCAGGAATAACAATAAATGAAAAAGGCTAATGAGTGTACCAGACAGCGACCATCGTTCAATGAATCTGAACATAGGGCTGTATGGAGATCACGGTTGCACATGTGACACACCATCATGTCTTATGCCAATGTATGGGTACCAGATTACAGGATTCAAGCAATTTATGAACAAAAAACAAATCAAAGCTCGGTTTGGAAGAATATACAAATATTTAAAAAAAAGGGGGACCTACTTAAACTAGGTAGTATTAAGATCAGAATTGTCAGAATGTGCTTAATGAAAAAATAGATGGAAAAAACGCATTATGCCCATATGGGACTTGGGATAAATGGACAAGTCCAACGGCTCCCAAACAACAAAAAACATATGAGTTGAAATATTTAATTTCAATTGAAATTCTAAGAATTTGTCACGATTTTTTTTCATTACTTTAAGTGAAACTTGATAGCATCAAAATATTTCAGAAAGGATATTTTTTTTACAAAAAGGTCATCTATGACGGATGATGAATTGCATTTTGAACTATAATTACACAAAAAGTGTGATGAAATTTTTTACCGCAGCCATAGTTGAGAGTGTGAAGAATGTTACCACACTTTTCATGAAGTTTTTAGTTATGGGCAAAACATTGTAGCCAATATCTCCATTTGAAAACAGCCCGGATATACAAAGTTCCCACACTTTTTATATTATTTTAATCATTTACTTGATTTGCTGTCTCAATGAGTTGAATACCTATATATTTTCCACAAATCTCAATGTGACAGCATATAAAGTATTTTAGTAAACTGGTTCTTCTAATTCCTAATGATAATACTTGAATTGGTAAAATTAGAAAAACTATGTTTTACAAACCCTTTCCACTGCCGTTGTTAATCGCCCTGTAATTCGTTTACAAATATTGCCAGACAAACCTCCTGGAGCTTGTGGAAGCTCTGCAATGACAGTTTTCAGTCCAATACTAGAAATATCCCGCAACTGCTCTTTATCTGAAACCATGTTTGTGCAAAGCGATTCAACAATTGTTTCAACTTGATATTCTTTGACTTTGTTCACAAGAGGACCCAAACTAAAAATGAACAGCACAATAGAGAGAATAAAGGGTTGATTATATTGCATATAATGTTCACCATTTTACTGCCAGGTTCTGAACTTCGCCATTTTTGTCTTCAAGGAGTTTCAAGAGCATTCTGACTACTTTTCTCTCAGAATCATCATCAAGTTTTATACTATCTTTCTGCAATTCAGTCATCAGATCATTAGTTGCCATGAATCTGAAATCTTTATCTGAAGAAGTCATCTGTAAAAAAAATCATGTAAAGGGATCCCCTACCAATGTATGAACCAATTTACCTTCTCAAGCAAATTTGCAATTTGATATGAAACACTCGCCATTGTTGTTTATAGAAATACCTTCTGGTTTTGAATTAATTTTGTCTGAAGAAATATTTGAAATAAAAATTATTTATATATCCGTCACCATCATATCAACTTTGAGGTTAATGGAAAAAATGAAGACATTACATAGCACACTATTTTACAACAATTCACAACATTTCTCTTCGAAAGTTCATTATTTAAATATGAAGGCAAAGCGTTATGGTCTTAGGTTACTCATAGAAGTCCACTATTTGCATTTACTTTTCAATATTTTTTCTTAAGAGGCAGTGTTGTTAATTTGCATTGCTTAAGCTTGACTGAAATAAATTCCACAGAGATGATTTCACGTGCAACATATGCAACCTGCAATAGGCGACCGATTACCGATTTATGTATTTATTATAACATGTTCCGAAACATTAGTAAAAAGTGACCAACCAAGTAACCACCGCTGCTAATGATGTACACAAAATGGATTTCGTGAGTGTTTTTTCCAAATATGGTAAATCGGTGGCGGGAGCCAGGTTACAGCTGTGACGCGAGCTGAATTC